CCCCAAAACCCCAAAACCCCAAAACCCCACAACATTTAATATTTTAGTTTAGGGAAAAATTTATAAATTAATAGAGGCAATATACATGCACAATATTTATTACAAGTAGTCTTTCCACACTCGTCTCAAATTTTTATTCATAGGTGTACTGGCTTTAATCGATTTGATATCATCATTACTGCTGTTATTAATCTTTGAATTACTTGTGGTGCTTGCCTCCGTGACTGTGAGGCTTGACATCAGTGGTGGGTGGAGTGACCTAGGTAACAACTCCTAATCCCTTCGTCCTACCCTCTCTGAAAAGGATAGTGGTACCTGGCTTCAAATATTCAGGTCTGTACATGAACTTGAACTTGACATGTCCTTTATCACCCGTCCTCAACAAATCCTTGTTCATATCACAAACCTTAGCTGCTTATCGAATAACACCGCAATGTATAACTGCCTAGTAATTAGTCTTGATAGTGGTAGCGTGATGCAATATAACAACTTCTGCTTCAAAGTCGTAAATAGATGAGGGATTTGAGTTTTTATCAAGGAGGACCATTCCCTTTCTGAAATGTGTTCGCTTTAACTAAAGCTTCTTGCTATCTAAAGGTTTGATGTTGAAACAAACAGCTTAACCAGATACTGCATTATCAACTGGCGTCCTCTTATGATGAATGGACTTAACTACTACTGGATTGAATTTTCCTGTTTTGTCAGGCCCTAAGAGTAAAGTTGTATTTGGCAACACAGTACCAGCTTTAAGAGTACCAGCTACAACCAAACCAACACCAGTCACTTGATAAACTCCATCAATCATGAATTCTACTGGATCAGTTGGCTTTCTGAAGTGCCCACTTATTTGTATTCTTGAATGTAGGAGCGACATGAATTCTTTAAGTTTTGGCAATCCCTATCCAGTTACGTTACTGATCGTGAAGATAGGTGTAACTTTATCGCTAGCCAAGCTGTTGGCAAAGACACTCACATCATCATCCTCTTTGACAACAACTGGCATCTTTCCACAGCCAGGTGACTTCAAAATTTTAACCAAAGTATCCTTAGTTTACTCATAGACGTTTTGTGGAGCAATGTCAACCTTAGTAATAACAATGAAAATAGGAACTTTAAGAGCTAATGATATTCCCAAGTGCTCCTTTGTCATTCTGCTTACACCCATATTTGCTCCAACAATAATCATACTATAGTCTGGCAATAAGCCGACAAGTCCAAACATAGTAGTCTTTAGGTATTTCTCATGCCCACACAAGTCTAAGAATGTGATTAGTTTCTTACTATTAGAAGCGATATGAGCCCATGACTGATTCTTAGTGGCATTGGCTCTCTCAACTTCTACTTGCTTTTTCGTATCATCAAAGCCCATAATCTCTTATCCAATACTACTTGTTCTACCGTTCTAGGCTTCATGACCAAAATTGAAAACCTTCATTCGAGCAGAACCTCTTCCATCATCCATGATTCCTTTAGTTAACACTCCAACAAGTGTACTTTTTCCTGAATCGACATTACCGATCACTGCGATTCTGATATCATTTTCCTCTCTGACAGCTAGTGAAGAGTCAAGCTTATCGAGTTATGACTCAAATCCCTATTTCTCAGCATCTTCCTCTTCTGGTGTTAACTTTTTCTCCTCCTCATCTCCGTCTAGGTGAAGATCATTTGAATTTTTAGTTTCTTCACCTTGTGTGCTTATTCGAATATCATCAAGTATATTAGCAAGTGTCTTTGGCTGCTTCTTTGAGGTGTCGATTTATTCGCTCTGAGCTGTAGACTGAGTATTATTCGTATTTTCACCTAATTCGCCATTAGTTGAGTTGTTTTTAGCAGCTTATTGCTAGGCTGCAAATTATTCAGTTGTTTCCATGATTATAATAATTGTAATATATCTAGGTAAATTAGTCAATTTATAATTAATTCAGCCAACTGCGTTCTTTCCTTTCTTTGTCTGAAGATATTTTCATCGGGGTTTTGGGGTTTTGGGGTTTTGGGGGTTTTGGGG